ACAGAGTGCGATTTACGAATCTGAAAATGCGTAAATGTTGTCAATCGAATGCTTCAACAATTAATCGTAAACGTTGCGTACTAACTTAGCGAGCAAAAAGGCAAGGTTTTTAATGGGGACACCCGAGATTTAGAACAGATGAGCGTTATAATGTTAGGATTATTTCCGTTAACAAAGTGCGAATAAATCACACAATCGCCTTCGCCGACGCTAGTGAAAAGGCTTTTCACTAGCGTCGGCGAAGGCGAGTAGCGACACATGCGAATTTTCATTTACGCCTTTCATAGACGTGAAAACAGTAAATGTGAGATTAAAGTTAAAGACAATTCTGAAATATATTGCTGCCATACATTGACAATATTAGCGGTTGAAGTCTCGTCCCAGTCAAGTTTAAGAACCCACAAGGTTTTGATTAAAATTTCGTTTTTGATAAATATAACGTAAACGAAATAGATACTATATTCAAAACATTCAACAGAATTTCAAAAATGTAAGAAAAGTTTATCAAATAATCAACAAAATGCTTGGGCGTGTAACATCATCAGTGGATGCGGCGGTTTTAAAAGCCTTTGAAGGGCAGACTACCAAAGATATCGTAAATAACTTTGCGATAAGATTTGATAAAGCTGTAAAAAAACATAATTCAAACCTGTAACTCGAATTTGTTAAGTCCCAGTTTCCCAGAAAAGTTTTTTGTAATGCTTTGTAATATGGTAAATAAATTTAAAAAAACCGTCAAATGCCTATTGTACGCCGATGATCAAGTCACATTTGCATCGTCGGCAGCCGAGTTGCAATGATGGATATATATAATGGTATATATAACTGGTAATTTAAAGAAAGGGGTATGAAAGTGAACGCAAGTGAGACGAAAGTGATGGTTTTTGAAAGATAAGAAAGTAAAACGTTACTTTAATGTATGGTGGTGGTATGGTAGTTGGGTCTGGCAGAAGAAGCACGAGAATAGAATAAATACTGTAGAAATGCGGTCATTAAGGCGTATGTTAGAGCTGAATCTGAATGGCAGGGTGAGAAATTGTGTGATAAAAGAAAAGTCTGGTTTGCAAGATGTCGTTGTGACCAGGATTAAGATTGAAATGCTTCGGTGGTTTGGTCATGTGGAAATAATGAATGAGGAAAGAGTGACAAAGCAAATTTATGTTGCAGAAGTGAACGGCAGTGTCGGGAAGGGACGCCCTAGATGAAGCTTTATCGACCAAATTGGCGATATATTGAAAATGGGCCAGATTAGGAGTACCCTTAACCGACGAGCGTGTATGCGTAGATATATGGATGTAAAGGAGGCAAAAGAGGTGTGTCAGGATTGTGTCAAATGGAAGTCCGTAGTCTCTGCCTACTCCTCTGGGTGGCATGCGTGAGTGTAAAAGTATTGATGATTGCAATCATATTCAATGTACGATCCGGAACAAATGTAGGCAGAAACCTTAGTTTACAACCTGTGAGTTGTAATTGACTTGCGCGAATTGTGTATGTAATATCATTACACGAATATGCTTTTTTCTACTGCGATCGGGTAGCGATATGTTGATGATGTGATTTATTTGTGATATCTTAGGGGCTCGTATATCAGAATGAATGTTCATCTCGCCAAGTTCTTGTGTTTGTGAATAAACAAATAAATCAGCTACTTTAACTATACAACCTTGATCCACATTAAATAGGCCAGAGCGGGTCAACTGCACTGCCGGAACTTGATCGTCACTTGATCGTCATAATTATGTTTTTATATTATGTTTCTATTCTATATATCTACATGTATATCTAAAATGTTCTACTAGTGAGGACCTTTATTTCGCTTTGCTGTAGCTATTAAGTATATCATAGAATTAGATAAATAAATAATAATATTATAATATTAAGTAGATAGATAATCATAGTTATAGCTGTTGGTCTTCCAAATAAAGTAAAATAAAAAAAAACAATAACTGATTTTTGGTCTTACTCGGTGTTCGTACCCGGAATGAACACAATCATGATCAGAAGTTGCGCTTGCAAACACTAAACCAACAACGAGGTCAATATGAAGTTTGTTGGCTGATATGTTCAATTCATTTCTATGGTTCAATTGTTTTTAATGTTATTATTTATATTTTAATTTATACTATTTAATTTTAGTACCTACTATAAAATATACCTACTCATTGTTATGATATTGTATTTATGAATATGCACGTTATCAATTGAATACATTGTAATTTAAACTACATAACAGATATGTTTATAAAACTCAAATAATTATTAATGGTAAGTATAATTAACATTAAAAATACAAGACATTTCAGCTGGCAGGGTCGTAATAGTATTTATCATGTGCGATCGCATGCCCTACCACCACAAAGTAAAGAGTAAGGACCAGAGGGGAAGCTTCTTAACAACGTCGAAAATGTATACCTATTCTGATAGATTCTGATTTCTGTCACATGATGCATGTGAAAAATTTAAGGAAAAAATGGTGGTGGTGTTGATGGAGCCAATGTTGGTCCACTGCCTACTACCACTACCTACGATACTACCACCTCCACCACTACTGACACCATCAGCAACACTATCCACCAACACCAGCACCACTTTCACCAACACCAATCCCACTACCCCCACCAATGTCTGGCGATTGTATTCCAACCATAATGCAGTGGTATTGACCCCTGGGGTCACGACTCGTCAAAAGTACCTCTATACTAAAGTGGGTGGATAAAGTGACACATTTAGCCTTTTACGTAGGTAACCTGCAATCTACGGCACTGTCAAGGTTAGACTAACGTTTCAAGTAGGTGGTGCTGTCTAACACATTCTCACTTACCTATCAATGTTATTACCTAGTTTTATTGTACTTATATAATACGTAAAAAGGTACTTACTTCACTTGATATCTCGGGTACAAAAAAAAAGGAAATATCCTTATTTTCTCTAGATATATACATGCATACTGTACAACTATTAGGCATTTTTGCTTATACAAAACACTTATTAATTACCTATATAAATTTATAATAACTTAATTCTTAATTATTTTAATTAAAATACTTAAATCTAATTATTAAATAATTGCAAAAAAACTTAATAAATTAATTGATGTATAAAATTTCGAAATATTGTTGGTCTATTTATTTAAATGCGCACGACTAATTACAGCCCTTTTATGGATACTCTGACTGAGCCGGCGCAAACCGGTTTGTACCCCGACGCGGTGAACCTGTCGGTGAGAGCTCACGCACACATCGCTGCGCTATGCATGGGTGTATTCGCCACGAGCCGTTTGTATGTAGCTTCCCCTCTGGTCGGTTTCTTTACTCATGTGCTACCACCACGACGTTTCAATCGTTTCAAGCTAATCGTGACTAATCTTGTATAACCTGTCGGAAATATCTGCGAACCTCGCTGGAATGCGCTTCCCCTCGCGCTTCCCCGCACCTCCGCCCGTTATCGTCTATCCAGTACCGTTGCCATCTCTCCATATTGCATGACGTCATCAAGCCAGGTTCGCAGATATTTCCGCCCGTTATCGTCTATCCAGTACCGTTGCCATCTCTCCATATTGCATGACGTCATCAAGCCAGGTTCGCAGATATTTCCGACAGGTTATACGTACAATGTACTCTGTGGTGACTCATATTATAGTGCGCGCAAGATAACTCTGCGCGCGACTGATGGCGTACTTAATGTTACCAGCTTAACTAAAATTTTTTCCTTCATTTAATCTTATTACTAGAATTATATAATTATATCGAATTACATAAATGACAGAATTGATTACCAATTAAAAAAACTGTAATTTTCAGCTTAAACTTACAAAGACCTAATAAATATTAAACCCTATATTTATTGTTTAAGATTCGCATAATAAGTAAATATATTTCTTGATTGTAACTTCCGTTAGTTTGACACTACACTTCACAAGTTTCTATGGTAAGATTTAAGTTAATATAAATTATTCCTTAAAAAACATTTAAAAACGTTTAATTTATGCGAGCGAGTTTGAGAAAAAAAAACTAAAAAAAACACGTTTCACTTTTATTTTTGGTATTCTTCTCAGCAAACCCTTTTATTTGAAACCCAATGATATTATAAAGGAAAGATACGCTACCTTCATACTGAGCGGCGTTCAGATATCGTTGCGTTATTATAACAAATGTACTTACATGTACGTATATAGTAATTTTCAACTACGACTGCGATAGATAATACGGAACGTAAAATACAGAAAGAGATAACTGTCTGTAGTGTATTGCGCTTGAAGTATACGACTGAATTATAGAGAATGCGGATTTGCCACAGAAGAGACATTGAATATAACAATAGGCATATTACACTGGTAATGATATATTAAATAAAACTATAAACAAAATTGTTATATATTTATTCACAAACAAATTCTAAATAAATTTGAGTTCTGTCAATCATATTTTCGATAAATTATGTACCTACTTATCGAATACCTACATAATTTACTGTTTACGTTTTTTTTTACTGATGGTCGCGCTACTTGGCAAATAGGAGCCTCTTAATTTTAAGTTTAAATTTTCTTTGTTTTCTACTAATCCATCTGTATTTTTGCCAGTCCATTGAGTTTGATGCCTGAGAGCCATTTCGTCTACAATCAGACCACAAATAATTCTGTTTCTAGACAAATTACTTTTTTGTTTTAAGATATCAAATGCTTGTTTTGTAAAACCTGGCAACATAGAACTATTTTGGTACCATTTAGCTAAAACGCGGGGATGAGGCAGAGCAGTATGGAATACTCGCCTATAGTATTTATACGCCGCTGAGGAGTAGTAATTTAAAGTTAACGCAAATTTGCGAAGAGCTGCTGGGTATTTCTTTCTATAATTTTTCTTAGATTTTGTTATTTGAAGTATTCTGTTAAATAAGTTTAACGGTTCTGCTTTTAGGTTAAGTTCCGAAAATTGCTGTTCCGTAAGATAATTCTTTTTTTTTTAATACCTTTAAAATATTTTTCATGCTTGTTATTTTTTTCCTTAATCTGTTATTTTGAATTTTAAGAAAATTATTCTTTTTCTGTAACATTTTTTTTCAACAACTAATTTACGAACTCTCTTCTTAAGCGTTGCTTTTCTAGGAGTGTCGAACACGGAATCGATGTCGGATATATTTACATGGTCCAGACTGGTAGGTGAGCCAAATTTCGGAACATCATCATTGTCCTGAAAAAGAAGAAATTGTCTTAATTGTTACGGTAAATTATACAAGAATGATAGTACTAATTAATTAACCAAAATTGACTGCACAGGTGGTCTAGTGATTTAAGAGCCACTAGTAACGCTGCTCCAAGTGCTGTGGGTTCGACTCCTACACGGGACAAAAATGTTTGTGATCCCTAAATAAAATAAAAAAAAACTTAAATTGCCCTATTACACACAATAGTTGTAAAATTGAAATTGTGAAATTACAGAAGTTTAAAGACCATTTTTTATTAAAATAATGAAGTATCGTGATTTTAATAATAATAAATTTTACCGAGGCTATCACAGGTATTGCAGTTTTTTTTAGACGCAGGTATCCTTTCGAAGTCGTATATTTGTCTTCATGATTAAAATGTGCAGAACAAATTGTACTACTTTTTGTAGGCATCCAGTCATGTTCACTTCTTTCCGCCTGAACTATGCTGACCAATTTATGTTTTGTAAAATCATCACTCGGAAATCTGGAAAATAATATAACATAATGAGAGAAATTATGTTCTATCTAGGTACATTACATAAATTTTAATTTAACTAATAAAATATCAAATAGCCCGTTATTACTAATCTCATTCTATATCATCTTAATTATAAAACGTTGAAAGCCAGAACTTATTATGATCATTATAATATTATGTTAGAAAGGCACTCGCTATATTATATCTTGTTATAACTAACAAGAAAACTCGCGATCAAGCGGCTGACGAAGGCTATGTATTGTACCTACGATTTCGCTTTTGGTTGTTAATCTATGACGCATTCTATTTGTCCTTGTCGCGCTATATTTGCCATCATATTCTCTATCCTTTTCGAACCACCATATTAACAATTCAACATTTATTTGTAAATGACAAATAAAATCGTGACAAAATATAAATATGTAATATTATTTTATTATGCTTACGTATGGTATGAAATTCCTTCACTCTTATTTATCTTCGAACCATAGTTTTTACACTTTCTTAATATAATCTCCTTACAACGAAACCACATAAATGTGAAATTATTATTGATAACATGCACCTCCTCGTAAAGTAAGTATTATTTTATTTTGCGATTTACACCAATGGATAGGCAATTTATTAATGAACATTTCTATAGTAATGTTTTTTTTCAAAAGACCTAAATTTGATTTTATTAAGAAATTATTTTAAAATCTGGGCGTATTTACTGCCCGCGCGTTAGCAGGCCTCAGTGAGCGCTGAGCTCTTCGACGTGAAGCCCGTGTCGTTAGAGCGTCGACCAGCGCATACGATCACGTCATATCAGTCGATAATATTATTACTTACTAGCTTTTTACCCGCGGCTTCGCTCGCGTGCGCTTGAATTTAGGGACATCATTAAATGATGTTCCGTGTCAAATTTAGAAATATTCGATCACTTTTAGAGTCACCTTGGTGTCTATGACTATGTCCGTCAGAGATTTTTTTCATTCTAAAATACTATTAGACGTAGATGATTACAACAGGTAACATGCTACAGAAACACGTGAATATATAATATGTCTATGTATTATTATTATTTACATTTTACTCGTTTGTCACCCTTATCCTATAAAAAAAAAAGTTAAAATTAAACGCGATAAAATCCTTAAAATTACTTTTATTCCTTATAAATTTTATACACAGTGACGTGAGGAATACTACACCCATGAACGGGAGTAGAAAAAAGTTCACACTGTTGTGGCGGTGAAAGAAAATCCAACACCTCATATCGTCCCGTCGTAAGAGGCGACATAGGAAAAAAACAGTAGATGGGATGATCTGCATCATCTTCTTGACAACAGATCAAAATAATAATAGCTGCGGTTGCCAACCCGCCACTATAGCAAATATCCAGCTACTTGACAATTTATGGGGGAGGCCTATGTTCATTTCAGTGGACTTTTGATAGGCTGACGATAATGAGTTCTACTCATCTTTGGAAGCCTTAATATTTACGGTAGAGTGAAAACAAAAATTAACATACCCGAAAACACGAATGAAATAAAAACTGCATATATTGCCCCATGAAAAGTAAAAAAGTAGCTTACATACATGTTACTACTGGGCACAGGCTGTAGAGTTTTTGGCCAAAAAAGAGTTCGCTGCACTGATTCCAACGCGGGATGAACGTAATGTAAATGATTCAATTATTTACATCGTATAATCAATAGCATTGTATTATTTAATTTTATCAATGACTTGCCATTTTATTTTATTTAGAAGTAAGTAGGTGGCGCTAATATTACATGAAATAATGAAAGCCAAAATTATACCATCTAGTAATATCAGCAATAGAAACGAACATTTGTTTATTTATTATTATTATAATTAATATCATTTATTAGGATAAGGGATAAAGTGATGTGAATTCTCTTAAAAGTTCTGTTAAAAATAAGCTATCAGCGCCGCTAGCGGTGAAAAACAATAATGATATCGTCATATGACCATATTATGAAATAGCAACGTTGTGTTTAGTTACTAATAACTTCAAAAGATTTCTATTCATTGATTTGGTCAAGCTATATCATGACATGGTCAACAAATAGTGTTAAATACAAATACATTCATTTCAGTCTTTTCACGAAATGATAGACTACTTTATGATATATGATCAATGATCAATTCTACGATCTGGCCACGACATACATAAAAATCTCTTTAATAAAACTATGATGATAATGAAAATTTTGCAACAATTGCAGACAGACCAGTTTTTACCACTTTACATATATATATATATATATTAGTAATTGAAATAAATACCATGAAGCTAATACAAAGAGGAGACGTTGTAATTAAATTTCACTATGTAACAACGCGTGACAATTTGCGGGGTGAGGGGATACAAAGCTCCGCCCACTTTACATTATCTACATCTACCGATAAATAGTAAAACTACTCGAATCTTTCCATATCGATGTTGCAATGTAGCTTAGCTACCTTGACGGTAGATGGCGGTATGTCCACAAAATGTTATAAACTATAAAAACAATATATTGGCGATTAAAATTTCTTTATGTCTGAATGCAAAACAAATTTCAGCACCTTCGTATGATTATTTTATCATAACTGAGCTCTACGTACCTTTATATTTTTAGTTCACAGGACACAAAGTGTCGCCATCTAGTGTGGAATATATTTAATTATATTTGAAAGCCGACGCAAAGAGATTTTTCTAGAACTATTTTAATAAATTAGGTGTAATATTATTTACAAATGAAATGTGATGCCATCCATAACATCAGAGCGTCTATCTGAGTAGTTTTTACACAATAAACACAACACTTCATCCTTTTCTTCTTAATACTACGAAAGTACACCGATTTGCGATTTTTTCAACACATAAGCGCACAGGACGAATGCTGACAGCATACTAACTAAAGCCACGCCCACTATGATGACGTCAGGACCTACTTAGAATCACAGTGCACAGTTGCTTATGCCGTCTCCCCTTTGTATTAGCTTCATGATAAATACCTTATCAATTTTCATATTTTTTATAGACGTCACTATTATCTATTGAAATTATTACACTTTTAAAATAAAATAACAAAAATACTAAAAAACTGAACGTTACAATTTGTTAATAATTTTAAAAATCTATTAACTTAATTCATTTATTAGTAACTGAAGGCAAAATATAAAACCTTTTCCATTTGATGACAGATGGCGCTGTTTTGAATACGAAATCGGTGTAGTATCAAATTATTTTACCAAGATTATAACTATATTTTAAACTTTATTTACAAATATGGTATTTATTTGAAAAACACCCGTCATTCCACCTATAACTAAGACACAACAGAAAATTAACATCTAAAGGAAATTAATATACTTAACCTTCCTTTTTTGAAGTTCCGTAATCGGATAAAAAGTAGCCCATAAGTTGCCCCGGGTTACTGACTACCTACATACAAAATTTCATGTAAATCGGTTGAGTAGTTTTTGCGTGAATCCGGAATACACAGACAGACAGACAGAAAGACAGACAGACAGACAAAAATTCTAAAAACCACTAATTTGGCTTCAGAACCCTTTATTTAGTCCCCTGGACTTGTTTTTTCAAGAATATATTAGAATTACAGACACGACTTTTCTACAGATTTATTATATGTATAGATTAGGTTATTTATAGGTATTTAAATAAAACTAATTTTACGGATTTTATCGCGTATATTAACTTATTTTACTTTCCCGACGTTTCAAGCACTTTACAGCACCCATGGTCACGGGGGGGACTGAGGTGTATGACGTCCCAATGTCATAGTTAACCACGGCTACCTCCAGATTAAAAATTATTAATTTTTGTTCCGATCTACGCAGTATGAACTTACAGTATCATGAAGTCTTGCAGTTGTATGCTTGGGTTGGGATTTAATTTTATTAATTATGGGATCCCAAGCAGATGGTAGCACCCAGCCATCTTCTCTATTGAAATTAGGATGTTTTTTGATTTCAATAGCCTCGCGAATCATCCTTGGAAGGAATCGGTGTTCTTTAGCGAGGATTTGTGGTCTATCAAATCTAATGTAGTGACGGGGGCGATCCTGTACGTGTTCACAGACTGCAGACTTCCCGGAGCGTCTATTCTTCACATCAGCTATGTGTTCTTTAACGCGGGTTTTTATGGATCTTTTAGTTTGTCCTATATAACAGAGACCACATTCACAATCCAACTTGTACACTCCTGCATCTTGCAGAGGAATATTACACTTGACTGATGGTAAAAACTGACTAATCTTCTTCGGCGGCTTGAAATATGTTTTAATGGAAGCACGCTTCAAGATGTAGCCAATCTTGTCAGTGACACCTCTGACATATGGCAGTACAGCAGGCACTCGCTCGACTGTGGCCGGCTTCACTCGTTCACTGTGACGTAGGCGCGGGACCCGAAGCTTATTGTCGTGCAAAACTTGCTTGACGTGTTGGAGCTCGGCGGCCAGGTGTTTACTGTCACAGATCCCTCGTGCTCTCTGAAACAAAGATTTACCCACGGTAGCTAACTGTGAAGGATGGTGCTGAGAATCACCGTTTAAATATCTATCTGTATGGGTCTTTTTTCTATACACAGTGTGGCTCAAGGTGTTATCAGGATTCCGAATTACTAACACATCTAGAAAGCGTTGACTAACCTACGCAATAAACCAGAACTCACGATTCTCCGCGCAGATAAGGGAAATGCCACGGTAGTTATGGATACGTCAGATTATAATTTTAAAATACAAGAACTTTTGTCGGATGTAAGTACGTATAAAAAGGTTAAAAATGACCCAACAAATAACACACTTAAAACAACTAGTGATCTCATAAAGAAACACCCCGAAAAATTAAATCTAGACGTAAAATCGATAATACCTACGTGTGCTAAACCACCGAAGTTGTATGGGTTACCAAAAATACACAAGCCCAATGCTCCACTACGTCCTATAGTGAGCCAAATCGATTCACCAACTTACAGATTGGCTCAACACTTAGCGAATATACTCTCACCGCTCAAGGGACATACAAGAGCACACACAAAGGATTCCTACCATTTTGTCAGCGAGATTAAAGACCTACATCTGGCAGACAATGAAACTATGGTGAGTTTTGATGTGCAGTCTCTGTTCACATGCCTACCTGTTGAAGACTGCATCTCGATTGTTACTAGAAGGCTAGAGGAAAACAACATGCCCGTAGAATATGCAGTATTACTCAGACACTGCCTTACATCTGGCTACCTATTGTGGAAGGAGGAGTTCTACAAGCAAGTAGATGGTGTGGCGATGGGCTCACCTGTATCTCCCATTGTTGCCGATATATTCATGGAGGACTTTGAGGAGAAAGCCCTGCTTACTTCTCCCATAAAGCCAAGATTCTACAAGCGGTACGTAGACGACACTTTCACAATTCTACCTTTAGATAAAGTAACTGCATTTTTAGACCATCTTAACTCCTTAAATTCTAAAATTCAGTTCACAATGGAGTTAGAGGCAAACAATTCTTTAGCTTTTCTAGATGTGTTAGTAA